AAGACATTCGCTTGTTAAAGCTTATAAATACATAAAACTTCATTGACAATTTTTTCTCCTAGTTTCAAATTCACAATTTTTGATAGGTTTTTAGGGTAAAAAGGTAGCTTATACTAAAATTACATTACTTTTAAAACTGTAGTAGAATATCAGTATTCTTTGGTATGCAAAACTACACAGGAAATCTGCTTTTAAACATTTCTTACAGAAAACAAGACACTTCTTTTTTCCATTTTCTCAGCTTAACATTGCTTCCATAAATTCCTTGGGTAAACTCAGCAATTTCCAGGAAGTTTTCCTGAATCCCAAATCTGCCAAAAGCAGAATTTCATAGAATCACAGAAAGGCTAATGGTATTTACTCCAGAACTATATGGAGCAGTAAACATAAGTCTCTTAACTGTCTTCTAATATTCTCTCATTATTAATCCGTATGCTGGGACATACACATTGTTGAACATATTAATCACTGTTTACTCTGCAGAGAAAAAGTCAATAGGATGTTTAACTCCTGATTTACACACAAGTTTTTATTATTTCACCTGTGTAATTCTTCACAGTCAGTAACTTATTCTTTCTAATTAAATCTGTATTTCAGGTCTGAGTGGACCTGATTTTCCTCTTACTAACAGAGAGTTTATTAATATAGCTCTCATCAATCAAATGCTGGTATTGTCTAAATAAGATTAACGTAAGAAAAAGCAAAATCAAGGCCACTGACTGTATGACAGCTTTGCCAGTCTGTTCACAGCTCAACAGTGCTTAGTGGACTCTTAACAGAATGCTGGGCAGGGAAGAGAAGACATTTCTTTATTGTTTAGAGAGCTGTGTTGAAGGAACAACTGGCAAGATCATAAAAAAAAGGGGAAAAAAATCCACTCTGTAAGCAAAATCAGACACTAAGTACAACCACAGGGACTAACCATCTTTGTCCCTTTCATATGTACTACAAACATATGTACAAAGTTAAACTTCAGTTAAGGTAAAATATTCTGTTATGCTCAAAATTGTGCTGTTGGCAAAGGAGTGTACACCCTACTGGTGCAGTTTAAAAATACTGCTGTTTTTTACCAGCCCTTTATTGCATCTACCATTCACCTAGCTGAAGTTCAGGGACTAGTTGCTGGGACATTGTTAAATAAGATACAGCCAGGTCAAGTAAAACCTGAGATTCTGCTTTGCCAGGTCAGCACAAATTCTGCTGCCTTTTACTAAAAATGTGAACATAATACATGCCAGATTACAATACTCATCCCTGATTCTTTTCAGCACATATGGAATAAATATGAATATGTCATAATACAGATACATATTAATGCTTTAATCAGAGGTATAGATATAAGGCAAAGGTTTGAAAGTGAATACCTTATGAGCATTGTATCCCTTCATTCACTATATAAAATAGAAAAACTAGAAATAATTGACATAGAAGATAAGTCTAAACCTATTTCTGATTTGTCTGATTAGTAATAGTTTGCACTCTTCTTAACAGTCACAGTTATTTTATGTTTTTGCCTCTAAACCTTGCAGCTGTCTACCACACTTTTTACAATGTCCTGTAAACAATTCACCTTACTGACTCTATAGGCAAGTAGAAAACACAGGTTTATTAATTATATAAGATAAGAAGTGCAGTTCCTTTAACTGTCTCATCATTATTTCATTTTTATTTTTGTAAAGTATCATCAAATTATTTAAAACAACAGCTGTTTTTCTCTCCTGAAACAAAATGTTCAAAAGAATTAGGTATGAAAGATCCATCAAGTCAACATGAAAACCTTTTTTCACATACTGTCTGAAACCTCCCAGGCATCCCAAAGCACTTAATAAAGTAGTTCAATAAAGAGGTTTGCTTTGCCCAGCTATCAATGAGAAAGATGGGAATTTAACTATATTTGATACATTGGAAGGTCAGACTTTCTGTTTATCTGAACTTCACTCATGCTAAGTTATAGATCTGTGTGTGCAGCTTTAATGTGTTAAAGGAATATTGTGACACTGAAAAACAGACAAATGAGAACTCTGCTCAGCACCAGTATCTTTAGTGCAGAGGAAATATACTCTGCCACCTGCACATCAGCACACATTCCTCTTACATAATTCCTGCCAGTTGGGTCAACTACTGTTTCTACAGCCAGTTAGATGAAGTGCCTATGCATCCATGTTAGCATGGAAAGCTGACATTTGAAGGTGCTAATGAAATTCAGTTAGTAAATTATGAGGTGTATAGAATAAGGACCTTCAGCTTTTTCCAGGGAAAATACATTGTTAAAAGTGACAGGCGTAAGTACAGCAAAGTTATGATATACAAAAGACACCTGCATCTAAACTGTGGTTTTAGTGAGGCTAATTCTTTGTGATAATAGGGTGTGTACCTCCCAATAGGCAGGAGTCTAATAATTCATACCCTACACATGCAGTTAGATAGAAGGCTGCACACTTGATTACATTCTGCTTTGCCAGCTGTTCAAAATAATAAGTGAAAAGTGTGCATCGTATTGCTACAGGATCACAACAGTCAGAAATGCTTGTGCCAGAAGCAGACCAATTTGACTTCTACATAAGCCCAGCAGGTTTATATGCTGACATCTGTTAACTCCATGCACAAGAAGGGAACAAGGTCGCTGTGAAATTTGCTGTGAAAGAGCAACATTCATTCTGCAGCCTTCCCTGGCAGATGCCATATTTTGCTTTCTTATGTCCACATACACACAATTCATTTCACAGATACTGAAAAGCCTGTTTCAACAAAAGTAGCAACAAAGTATTAAAATAAATCAAAGATCTGCAAGGTTCACTATGCAAGTATAAAAAGTCCATCAAATGCAAAGTAATCAATAAATGTATTTTTATTTTGGTACAAACTGCAATGACAAAGAAAACTACTAGCTCCTTAAGATGCTCAAACTGCAGTATACAGATACTGGATTATATAGAGATTAGGAACAAAATCATGGCTATAAAAATTAATGGCTGTATATGATACTTGGGCTATTATGCAAACTGATCATACAGACTGAAAAGATTTATTCTGAAGAATATTAAATTCAGAATATTTCAGAAGAAATTCAGAATCTGAATACTCCTGTTTTACACCGCAATAGTTTGGGAATTTCTTTGTTGTTGTTGTGGGTGAAGGTCTGGAGAAAGCAGAAAAGCAAATGATAAGTTTTCATGTGTTTACTTACCAGAATGTAAGTATAATGGACTCTGAAAATGGTTTTGTATCAAGGTATACAGTGAGCAAAATTAGTGACAAATTGATGAAATTTTTATTTCTTCTAATATTTGGCTAATAAGCAATGAAATCTTCCTTGGACCAAGAAGACTCAAGGAAGTTCATGAAAAATTATAATGGGTAGCCACGCCTCTTGATAAACTGAGATTTATTGTAGGCAGGGCTAAGGAAGAAAATATGAAGGTGATTCCATGTGTTTTCTAATGATGATGCACTAGTATCTTAACAAAAGTTTTTTGTTTAAGACCCTGCTGTATTACCAAAACATTAGTTATTCTCTCATGAGTGTATTTATAGAATAAAAGCAATGAAATGGTAACTTGCAACCTATGATAATTATTTTCTTGTACTAAAAAAAATCATTGTGATGGAAGGAGACATCAGATATTTTAATTTTAAAAAAACATTTTACCAAACAGGTAAATTTTTATTTATAGGTGTTATTATTCATGCTCTATTCAATTCTAGCTTTAAAATAATTAATGCAATGTCAAACTCAGCTCTATTTTATTAATGAGGTGAAAAAAAAAACAACACAACCCTCACAAAAATGTCCACTTGTCAAATGAAATGCTACGTTCTTACCTAGTTTATGTATTCTTATTTTAAAAGGCCTTTTTTTTCATTTCCTTACATGTCCTCAAGACCCTATTTATATGACTACGTAGACAATATATTTTTATATAGAAATCAAATAGAAAAGTAGACATAAAACACAGTAAGTAATTCAGAGCTATACCAGTAGGTCAATCCTGTTGATGAAGACTGAAGGTTCCCCCAGGAAATTAAGAAAAAATAGTAACCACAGATTATTTCAGGCAAAAAAGAACATCCTTTTTTTTCACTAAGAAACTAGGTTGCCATATAAGCTACTTAAACAGTCATTGGGAGTTTTTTTAACATGGAGTTAGATCCCTATCCAAGCAACATGTATTTTCCAACCTATGATGAAGTAATGACTTTGCTGAGAAAAGTGTTAACTGACATGATGTAGCTAATACTGTATTTGCTACAGCTGATGCAAAAATGCCCATCAAGTAGCTAGACTGAAAGTATCATTTATTAAACTGGAAGTATCAAGGAATTTGAAAAGAGTGATCAGCTGACACCAACACACACACTTTCTTCCAGAAATAAACATACTCCTGTACCTTTTACCCAGTATTTTCCAAAACCTCCTTAGTTACGTACTGAAAGCTTTGGTATTTCTACAGCATCACTCTACAGAATACACAGGAAT